AGTAAAATAATATTAATTATACTTAAAATCAACGGTTTTATCTATAAGACTGGAGAATTTATTTTATGTTGTTACAGAGAGAAAGAGGCCGTATGTGAGTCCAGTTACTAATTTATCCCCATCTTTCAAAGATAGAAGCAGGGAACGACAAAGCAGACACCATAGACATTCCCATAATAGAATACATCACAATTCAAAATATCCCCAATCTGATGTAGAAAATTTGGAATATAACCGTACACAAAGTAAGGTAGCTGTTGTTGTAAAAAAACAGAAAAAGCCTACAGTGGCTTCAACTGTTTGGACAAGGTAACATTGCTTCAGCAACAGCATTGCACAACGGTGTATTGGTTGAAAAATAATGAATTAATAACATTTTTCATGCTTTTTAGAATTCACAATGCACAAAAATCAAATCGTAATAGATTAAAGGGAAAATCTGCTTCAAGTAGTGCAACATCAAGTGGCAGTGAAAGTAGTAGTGAATCCACAAGTTCTACTACTTCTTCTAGCAGCAGCCAGTCTTCAAGTTCTGAAAGTGAGGAATCAAACAATGAAACCACCCACCGATTTAAGCAAATTAAGGCAGAGGTTCATAGACCGGGATTCTCTCATACTACTAGTGGTCATAATCATAAAAGTCCTCTCCGCATTGAAATTAAGAATGACAGATTTAAAAGAAAATAGACATTTTGTTTCACATAGTTTATTTCAACGTGAGAAATAGATTACTATAATTACATATTTATATGAAAAAAGTTTCTATTATTAAAGTGCTTTTAAACAGAATTAATGTTTACAGTAAAAATTAATTTTAAACTAGTTTGAGTGGTGTTTTAATACTTCAATAAAAAATGTTTACAAGATTGTTATATCCATGAAATTAAAGACAATACTGTTCAATTTTGAATGTATGGCTTTTCTTGTTTGCTAGATTATCTAATAATTTTTATGTTATTTTGATCAATTTCATGTTTTTCTGATGCACAACACTGCAATATGAAGGGATATGGAAAAAAAATCACATTATGACATACATGATGGACATGGTGTAAAACATACACAAGTTCAAACATAGAATGCTGGAATAGTGAGGTAAGCATGGATTAGGGATGTCAAAAAAAAAATAAAAATTGATATGAATAGGCTAAAATTAGATTTAGTAGATAGTAATGAAGCTTGTTGGTCAGAACCCGGAGGCTTGGAGTGCAGACTTTAGAATAATACATACAGGTTCGTTTGAAAGTAATTATTATCTGTAGAAAAATAGGCCAGAGTATACTTGCACTTATGCTAACGAATTACGTGGATATCAAAAATGTATTAAGCTTAATGAGAGGCTGAAAAAACTAATAAACGTAAGCGATTTTAACAGTTAGCTGTCTAAAGATGGAGTTTGAAATAAAAATGATCGGCAAAATAGTTTGATAGAATTCGATGATATTCTTGTTGGACGAAGTTTTAAAATACAAGTGAGGAACTATAAAAAGTTAATGAAAAACAATCCAATCGGAAGCCCGGGATGGCATAATGAAATTGATGTACCTATTTGTAGTGTGCGTTTTTTTTTGTATATTATCAGTTAAGCGTCGTTCTTGTTGACACTAATATTACTTTTTTGTATGTATTAGAAAATATTTTAGTAACATCTAAGTAACAAGAAAATAAAAAGACAGACGAAATGCAGCAGGCAGGAGAAATTGATAGCAATAGGGATTTTTACCGAATGAATTCATAATTTCTACAACAACGTTGAAATAGTTTCGTCGACTCCGCAGGTAGCAAAGAAGCACCAAAAATCCGNTACCATCAGAGGATGTGAGAAGATACAACAACAGAGAACAATAGCAGAAGCGATTTTGTAATCACAGTGGTTTTACAGGTTTACTGAGAACTCCAAACCATGTAACTCGGCCAGCGTTGCAACCTGTTTTCAGAGAAGAGGATCGTATTGCTATGTTTAGTGTCATTAAGGGCCCAGGAAGTCACTATTATATGCGTAAAAATCGGTCGTTATAATTGAGTACTTACAGCACATACTAGAAACAACAAAAAAAGGGACAAATTGTCACTCCTGGCTGGATTTAACGTGCATACCTGGAGTAAGGATTAATTAATAACCAATAAGTTAATTAAAACAAATTAGCAACATTTCAAATTCAACTGTTTCCTTTCAATCAACTATAAAAAAAAGTATTAAAAAGCAACAAAAGTATTTTCAACGAATGACATACATTATACCAACCTCCTCAACTTCTAAAAAGTTATTCTCTTATAAAACTTCATAGAAACAATAGTGTCTTTTTTAATAGCCCCCGTCGTTCAGTTTCCAAATATCTATAATTATTTTAAACTTTCAATTTGACAAAATCTACTTAGTTGACTTCATAACTAATATCCGAATTAAACATTTATGGTATAAGAAGAAACTTCCAGTACATAAGAATAATAAAAGTTTAGCAAAAAGGCTACGCATTCCGAATCGTATCACTCCATTCAACAAAAATTATCTACTTATTAATACACTGATTAATATGCGAAATCAGTTAGAAAAAACAACTAAATCATATAAAACAAATACTACATAATAACGGATGTAATCCAAAACTAATAGACAGCTTACTATATAAAAAAAAACTCCACGAAAAAGCGATTAGATTAGTTTATCCTGCATAAACAATTCTAGCACCCGTATTTTATCAAGCTTAAGAAAACTTCAATGTATTATTTAAAACTATAAATGAATTGGGCACACTTTTAAAAAATAATACAGATAATTACAAAATTTACAAATTAACGTGGTTCTTGCGACAAATGGCCGAACAGGAAGAACATTCAGAACTAGAATTAACATTCATAAGCTTTGAACATAAAAAACGAAATTCTAATTGCGCCATCTAATTTTAGCAAATCATAAATTTAATTCAAAAATTTTACACTTTAAATAAAGGAGTAAAACTGAATACGTCAGAGGTCAAACAAAAATTACAATTTTGTATATTGACTAGCAATGGCCGATTACATAAAAACTAAAACGGTTCGTTCGTTCGATAATCGCCGACATACAAACTGTCTTTTTAAAGACTAATCATCGACATGGACGAAGATGAGAATTAAGAAAAACCAAGGAATACTAGGAAAATGCTGCATGCCAGAAGAGAAACAACGACGATACCAACGTTGAACACCTTCCAGTCTCTACAAGATGAGCCGACGGATCGTCGTTCATTATACCATTGGAAGGACACGTGCAGAACATTATATCACAACATCGCATTTGATAAAGTAGCTAACACCAAGGATGTAGTAAAAATACATCCTCTTTGGCAAGTTTACGACCAATTAATCAACATCCTAGTTAAACCCAACACAATGTACCTACTACACCATTATACTATCACCGAAAATAGACCGACAAAAATGCGGGATACTAACGGAGCTAAAGACACTAATGGATTATCAGGAAAAACAATTCACAGGATGATATTGAGATCAATGAAAATCCATTTTGTGGTAATCACCGTCACCAAAAAGGAAACTATCTTAAAAACGACGACTTGCAGACAATTTCGAGTAAAGGTAGAACTTTACAGAAATAAACGTGTTATTCTTGTCAGAGAATAGGTGACGTACAACTGCCGTATGATGGCTATTTGGGTGAAATCCGCCCAACAACACGGGAGTGAGGACTGTAACAAAGCACAAGACGAGATGGTGACATATAGAAACTGCAGGGGACCCCACACTATCAGTTAACGGGGTTACCCAGCATTAAGAAAAGGAAACCCCTAACTGAATACCGACCAACAACAAACCCAAAACCAAAGATGTCACAAATCATCAAGTGCGAGACAGTACTTCATACGCTAAAGCCATCATGACTAGTATGGATGCCAAAAACGAGATAATGAACATATTGAGAAAACTAGACCTGCTAAAATTAAAATATGCGGTAATGAAAATTGTAAACATACTACAGAGGTGCACAAATACTAACTGGACAATACCCACAGTCTTTAAAGAAAAGCACGTCGTAACCAACAACTTAAGACTGAAGAGGATCGCAAGGTCCTGTAACGGTCTAAGGTGAACGCTTTTAGTTGGTAGGCGCCCTTCTGGGGTCAATCCAACACTACCCGACCGGATGGGAGACTGGGTGCCTTTTGAAAATTTCTTCTCTTCCACGAAAAAAAAATCCATCATGCGATTAGTATTCAAGAAATTTATTGTCAATCATGTTTTATTAGATTTCGTTAACAATTTGAAAAGTAATACGTACCTATTCACGCACTGCAATATTAATTTCGGTCTGATTATGACGTATATCATAATTATGATAATGACATCGCGAAATACCATCAGAGGATGTGAGAAGATACAACAACAGAGAACAATAGCAGAAGCGATTTTGTAATCACAGTGGTTTTACAGGTTTACTGAGAACTCCAAACCATGTAACTCGGCCAGCGTTGCAACCTGTTTTCAGAGAAGAGGATCGTATTGCTATGTTTAGTGTCATTAAGGGCCCAGGAAGTCACTATTATATGCGTAAAAATCGGTCGTTATAATTGAGTACTTACAGCACATACTAGAAACAACAAAAAAAGGGACAAATTGTCACTCCTGGCTGGATTTAACGTGCATACCTGGAGTAAGGATTAATAGTGACTTCTGGGAGATAGCGCACTGGACTAGTTATTTAGGCGAGACGCGTGAATCGGAGGCGGTAATGTGATCAATCCTGCAGCAGTATTTAAGGTCTCGGAGGAGGGGGGGGGTGTGGCTTGATACATTAGTTATGGGCATTAATAACTATGCATGTTTTTTAAATTGGTGGTTTAATGTGATAACGTGCTTTATAAATCTAATCTTCAAAATTGTAATTTTTCTTATCAGGGTATAGAAGAAATACGCAACCGTGTATGTATGTGTACATAGTTAAATTTTCAGGCGTCAAGAAAACATCTGTAGTTTTGTAATAGTTAATTATTTATGTATACACAACAAGGGAATTACAATAGTCGTAATATCATAAGATCAAAAAGTAATTAAAGTAATATTGGTAATATAATACACTTACATAGTTACCAACACTTAGATATAAAAGTATATACGTCGTGTAGTAATAAATATAGTAGGCCGTGTTTTATAATCTGCAAGCGCGCTAATTTTTAATTTATTAGCGACTTCTTGACGAGACACTTTGGCATCTTTTAACAGGCAACATCAAATAGGTACACAATTCACTAATATTTAATAGGATAATTTCAAAATTGCCCAGATGAGTAACAAACATTTGTACTTTAAAAAAAACACTAATTGTAAAAGCGATGCACAAAATGAAACACTTCAGATAAAGATACGAATTTACTTGTAAGTTTTAGAACAAAAAATATCAAAATTCCAATTTAAAGTAATGAAAATAAAAAATTCATTATTTCAATCCAACCTTCAAATATTATACGGAGGGCGATTAAGAAAGTTGCATTCAAAGTAATGATTACATAGGTAATCTTTTTCACGAGTTATTTTATTATTAATAAAAGTGAAATAATTTAAAAAGTGTTAGTTTTCTGCTTTTAAAATATTATTTTCTTATAAAACCCTCCTTTTTTAACCAAAATACGAATATAATAATTAAAAAAATAAGGCTTATTAAAGTGCCACAAAAATTGCAATTCTTTAAAAAAAATAGAACACTATTCTTATTTTCTTGCAGCGTTTTAACTTTTGTACCTACACAAAGTTACGTTCGAAGTTGTGAATTAAAAGTTTTTACTCATATAAATCAATATTTTGCATATATGCTATTGTATACAGAGTTAATTTTTTACCTGGGCTATATGTATTCGCATCTTGTAAACATTAAGATTAAGATACATTGTAAAATGAATATGTTATAAGACATCATAACATACCTGAAGACATCAGAAATTTGACTACACCAAAACAAGTTGAAATATCCTATGTGGTATCTAGACTAATAAAATACATTAAGGTAAATGTACAACGATATTTAAAATGTTTGAAATCACAGATAAAAATATTAAACGTCACAGTAAGACTTGATAACTTTCTAAAACATTAAGAATTGATATAAATACAGATTATATTTACTGAGTTAAATTTATACTGAATTGATATATTACGATCCTGTTTATGCATGCATTGTATTTGTATAGTGGATTTCCTATCTCCACATCGTAATTTTCTCAAATATTTGTGCGCATAATATATATTAAAATTACCAAAACTTAAGAAACAACTAAACCGACCACCACCCTAGAAATGTTTAAATTTAACATTCTATACCAATTCTTAAAAATTACATGTATGGGTATATTGCACCTTTATTTTTTCCCACTTTAATAAAATCTATGCAGGTGGCTTTCGATTAGTCAGACGTACTTTATCTCTTGAACATTCATATTTCTTAAAACCGACATTAGAATGTAATCAATTGTAGATCGAAAATCAATCCATAAATTACAGATAATGTAGGGACAAGAGATGTCTATGAAACTAGCAACATTCTATTAAAAATATATCAAATAATACTTTGGAATGGCACTATTTAATCTTATGTTATATAATAAATATTATATTACAAAACTAGTTATGTATTGGAATATGTTCTTACCAAAAATGTGTTATATTTATGTTTACACAACCTTTTGATACAATTTACAAAACTTTAAAAATACATCATTTCACAACTATACAATCTTTCTTACACATTTCGCAATGAACTAAACGTACGTGATTGTTCTTAATTTAATACTAATCGTAAGATAATTGTTTTAATATTTGGTGCAGAAATTAAATTTTTGAATGGTTAAGTTTTCTCTAATAATTCAGGAAAATACAAAAAAAAATCTGATTATTTTTTAAAAGGCTTATTGAAAAATTAAATGTTGGAAATTTCATTGAATTTTTCCTTCAGAATATATAATTTTTTATTGACAAAACAATTACTTAATTAAAAATTTTTCGGCTTCGACACGATTTAAAATCTCAAATTAACTATAAAGGTTTACACAAGTATTTATGAACAATTCCAAATACAAAACGCAAAAAAATCATGAAAAAAAAGACAAAGTTGAATATAATAATTATTACGAGCTAGATACCTTATTGTATACGTCGCCTACCAACCATAATGAAATTGTTGCCAAAATCTATACTCACTAGGTCAATGGCACACGTGAACAATGAGATCTGGCGAGTTCGTTATGTTGTGATTCGTGAAAAAACGATATCACATATTTTTTTAAACATTAATTTCGAAAGACTATGATGTCAATGTATTATTGGCATGTTCTTGACTGACACGTTGTTTAAATGCCAGCGTTTCTTCAAAAATAAGACGTTTTAGTGTTTCTTTTGGAAGGTCGTCAAGTTCTGTGTCAAATCGGAAGGGTCTTTCAGCAACCGGCTATAAAAGTTAGGGTTACATTACCTCTTATCGTAATGCATACTTAATAAAATTTTTTGCTTAAAAAACTAGTTACTCTGCTAGCATTCTAAAGTCGACACGAAAGAAAACGAAAGCCGACTGGGGGTTGGAGGTATTTTGTGATAGACATATTGAAATTAGTTAATCAGAAGATGTTCGCTTAATTCATTATTCTTTGAATATAGTCATTTTCTATTTACACTGGAAACACAGATTTCAAATTTACTAACATCCCATCAAATCATACTATAGTCCGTAAAATATATTATTATCCCTAAAAGATTGTAAATTGTTTGCTTTTCTATTTATTGATTTTACAATAAAGAGGAGGGCATAGATCTTTCGCCGAGTCGAGATGGAAAAGCCATAAATCATTTTTTCAATGAGGTAGGTACAAAGAACTACTGTACCATGAACTTCCGATTATTCTAACTGGATATTTAAACATCAAATTTTCTGCTAAAAACTCAGTCATTCTTAGAATTTCTTCTAGATGCATTTAATTTAAAAATTAATGATCCAGCACAATACACATCCAAGAACAATACCACTATCGATGCAGTTTTTTTAACTTATTTAAATAAAATTAAATCACAAACATGTGTAGTACTTCAGTTATCACAAACCAATAATTATCAATAATGAATGTGACAAATGACTGATCAATTTATAATTT